AAATTGGGCTTCTCAGAGGTATGGATTGACATGATCCATAGACACATATCAAGCAACATGTATTCATTAATTCTAAACAGCCAAAGGCATGGTTTCTTCAAATCAGAGAATGGCTTGAGACAAGGCGACCCTATATCGCCATCATTATTTGTTCTAAGTGCCGAGTTGTTATCCAATATGTTGAACAACCTCTATGAGAATAGAAGATTCACAGGTTTCTGCATTCCGAGGCAAGGGCCGCAAGTCAATCATCTAGCCTTTGCGGACAACATGATACTATTTGTTAGCGGCAAAAAGAAGACAATGAGGCTAGTTATGAAGACTTTGACAAAATATGAAAAAATATCAGGTCAGCAGATTAATAAAAGCAAGAGTTGTTTCATGGTGGCTCCGGGAATACTCCCAGGCAGAATAAGAAGGATTTCCTCCATTACAGGAATGCAACACAAACAGTTCCCAGTCAAATACCTGGGATGCCCACTATTCATAGGGAGACAAAAGATAGCCTATGTCTCTGAGATGATCAACAAAGTAACTAGCAGAGTAAAAGGATGGCAAAACAAGTTTCTGTCACCTGGAGGTAAGGCTATACTCATTTGGCATGTCCTTCAAGTGATTCCCATTCACACACTCTCAGCAATGCACCCACCTAATGGGGTGCTGACACAAATTGAAAAGACACTAGCAAATTTCTTCTAGAGAGGAACGGATGGGAAAGATAGGCACCATTGGGTCGCATGGAAGACACTATGTCAACCATATTGCGAAGGCGGAGTTCAAATTAGAAGACTCCAAGACATTTGTTCGACGTTCACAGCAAAAACATGGTGGAATTTGCGAACTGGGAACTCTCTATGGAGAAGCTTCATGATTGCAAAATATTGCAAAAGAAGACACCCACTAGCCTTACGATGGCATGCAGGTCAGTCGCAGAGTTGGAAGGCAATGTGTGACATTAAGCTGGAAATAGAACAAAGCATGGTATGGATACCTGGGCAAGGGGAATATATCCTTTTGGTTCGATAATTGGACTAAACAAGGGCCCTTCTTTAGCCTCCTACCAGCTGGAGTCAACCCCAATGATGTCAAGCTCAATGAAGTACTGGTTGAAGGCGAATGGCAAATGGAAGAATTGGGGATAGAGGTCCCAATAGCTATAAGAAATATTTTGGAGGAACAACATACAATGCTCTACCCTGAAATTCAGGATAGAGTAGTAATAGCAATGGGAAGTTTTCTGTAGCCATAGCTTGGGATCTACTAAGGCAAAGAAAAGAAGTTGCTTTCATCGATTCAAAAATTTGGCACAAAAATACTCCATTCAAAATGGCCTTCGTGACATGGAGGGTGCTATACAATAAGATGCCCACAGATGAGAAAATAGCAAAACTTGGTTACACCATTCAACCAAGATGCTACTGTTGCACTCCAACCTCAACAACACTAGAAACCTCAGCACATCTATTTTGGGAGGGTACATATGCTCAAGATATCTGGAAAATATTTGCTGCCCCGTTTGGTCTACAAGTTGGAAACCAACAGTACAGCCATATACTTCTCCAATGGTGGAACCACAGATATATGAATCTGGTGACATCCTTCATGGCTAGGGTATTACCTGCAATCATAACATGGGAGTTGTGGAGATCCAGATGCGCCTCAAAGTATGGGGGAGAAGCACCACAGAGCAGGAGATCCGAAAAGCTTATAACCGCAAATCTAGTAGAGGTAGTCAGACAGAAGTTCGGAAAGCTACAACAACAGCTCTCGTGGGATCAGTTACAAAAACTCATTGATCAACCCATGGTGCATAGAACCAGTAAGTTGGTGAGATGGGTGAAACCACCACCAATGTCCTATAAGCTAAATAGTGATGGAAGCTGCCAAGAAGGGAATAGTGGAGCAGGATGAATTATAAGAGACGGGTTTGGAAATTTCGTCTTAGCATACTCATGCTTTCTGGGAAAGGGAACAAGCAACGAAGCAGAGGGTAAGGCCATGCTATTGGGGCTCAAGTTTTGCGTGGAAATGGGCTTGAGTAGAATTATTGAGGAGGCAGATTCAGCACTACTCGTAGCCTGCGTCAAGGAGGAAGGTGAAATACCTTGGAGAATAATGCAGACGGTAAGTCAAATCAAACAACTAATGAAAACCAAAGAAATTGTTCCAAGACACTGCTACCGAGAAGCAAACAGAGTAGCGGATAAACTAGCAACAATGAGCCATACACATAGAAGAAACATCATCTTCAATCAGTTTAGTGATCTACCAAGACAAGTGAGAGGACTATTGAAATTGGACAAATGGGAAGTCGCCTCCTTCAGAATCCGTCAACTCAAGGCAGTAGAGATAACATTTGAGCCACTATGAACCTAATAAAGGCCACACGGCTGATCTTTTAATTGTTAGTTAACAGTTTTTTGTTTAGAAGGTTGGATTTCAGCCTATCATTATTATGGGAAGGTTAGGTAAATGCCCTCCTTCAACCCATGTTCTTGCTTCACAAAAGGAAATAAAATACACAAACATTTCAATTAAAAAAAAATACTATATGCATCAGGTAGTTTCAGTAAACACCAACACTACAAGTATAGAAACCACCCAGAAGAGTCCAGTACTGCTCCTCACACCACCACCGTTAGGGCGGCTGGTTACCACGGTAATAGGCGGTGAGTCCGCCTCGACCGTGGATGGCGGTTCCACATAGGGTGGAGGAGGTGGTTGGTTGAGGTTCGGAGGAAGTCCTATACCATGTCCCACTTTGATCTCAAATGCCATGCCATTCAGGCATTGGGTGCCATCATCAGCGTCGGAGAAATAGTATTGTGGTCCCTCGATGGTCAATGGAACAGCGACTGTCATCGCTTCCCCAAACTCATTGCTGCCTCCTTGATACTGAAATGTGTCATCATCTGAAGCATCATCCATGCTGCAATTCCTATGTGGTCTCGCTGTATGTTTGAATAACTGTCTGATTGGTGTTTGTACTAAATACTAAACACATAAATTGATAATACATCAGAATAGCGTGAGATACAAAACCAACATATGATAAGACAGCAATTTGGTAATTAGTGCAAATAGCAATAAAAATCGGAGTTCCTTCCAGGGTCGCCGGCTGGAAAAATACAACAAAGAATGCAGAACAATTCATACAACTGGGAGACTCATGAATCATGAGTGAAACACAATCACATGTGGCATGTTGTGTATAATCTCAAGATCGAGAGATGTGAGGTTCATCATACTTATGATCACATGTAAACACACAAAGCAATCCCTTTAATAGGACTGACAGCTCAATTATCACATCTAACTTTTTCTACTGGAACTATCAGAAACTTATTAGCTACACCTCCCTTACATAATCAATTATATATTCAAATGAAACTTTTGGACTTGAAAGAATCAAGTTGAATTATTTTATATATTAGACAATAATAGACATGCAAATGATAAGAAAATTGAAAGCTACTTTACTCCTATTTCTAGATCATTGTTATCCGAGTGTAAGTGTAACTTTTTGCATCAAGATAACAGGACGCGGAATAGGAAGTAAGCTGTCCTCATAAGTGCCACCATATTAACGTTGGATTAGTTAACCTTATCCAACGATTGTTAATTAATCTCCCACTAAAATTCATTAATTACCAAATTATCCACATAATTAAGAATTATCACAAATTATTTAAAATACTACTATTAAAATATTATAATATTAATAAATCATGGTACCATATAAAATCAATACATACGTTGTTATTTCACTAAAATATCCATGTAAAAATACATATATTTTCTCAACTTATAATTTTTCTAATCTCATATAAAGAGTAAAAGATTCTCGTACGCTAAATTCTTAAAATGGTAAAAAGATAACCTTCTTTTCTTGTAAGAAAATAATTTTTATCTTCACAATAAAAAAAAATCTCCTTTATAAGCTTTCTCATATTATGAGTATAATTTAAAACATATTCGAAAGTAGTAATATTGATAACTATATAAAATCATATTTTTCAAACCATTTATTTTCTTTACAAAAATGTTCCACTCAAAATACTATATATATATATATATATANGGGGCATGGTTGAAAAGCCGCCCATGACAGATAGCATGGCAAATTAACCAAACAAGTAAAACACAAAGTAATATTAATTAAGGAGACCCATGATATGTTTAAATCATCAAGTCGTTCCAACACAGATTTACAACAAGAATCACCTCGATGTACCAGACATCATAATCACAAATCACCCTTATGACGTCATGTGAGCTTCACATATAAGACATTTTTTCCAAAATAACTTCACGTGCACAAGCCCCCTTATCTCGCTGCATGCACATTAATATGCACACCACCCTTGTGTGGCCGCATGCGTATTTCATTCACAACACAACAATCAATCACATCACACGTGCACATATGCCACCACATCGCCCAAACAACAATACTAAAGCCACAATAATACATAGCCCACGGCTCAACAACAATACGAACAAGAATCTCAACAATATCACAAGGGTGTAGTGTACAATAATAAGAGTGCTTCAAATAACAAACAATTTCCAATTCAAGGCATATTGGAGATCGTTGCACCTGTGTGTGAAATTCCAGCATATTATGTTGCAACTCCAGATCATCATCATGCTAGCTAAGCATCTGATCAACAACATGCGTGAACATCTTAAATTATAGCCAGTTTTGCTTTCGAGGGTTAATTAGTTGTTGTTTGTTTTTCTTGTAAGAATCTCATTTATGGTCATTTCATCAGAAAATACATACAGTCTTAGGACATATATTACTTTTTGCTCAATTGAAATTAAAATGTATCTTCGTACTTTGATATGTTGCAAAGTTTTTTCCTCGCAAAATGAATGTTTGAATTATTCAAAACTTCTCTGTTTCCTTATATTGATAATATAGCTTAATTGCAAGTTTTCTTTGAATTTGGGATTCTCAAGCCTACTCATGGATTTAAGTTTGAAAGATTGGGAAGTTGACATATAGAAGGTGAGATTTCACCAGAAAGATTGAAACTTTGGAGGTTAATAGTAGAGATGAAAGATGTACAAGTGATACCAGTCCTACTAAAGCTCTAAGAAGAAATAGAAGAAGATGTATAACATTTGGTACGTATTGACCTTGATTGTTAACATTTGGTATGTATAACAGTAGCTTGTTGTGCAGAGGAAGCATCTACAGGTGAACGTACACTGGGCCTTAACATGTCAGGATCAAGTCACAAATCTGGGTTCAAATGCTAAAGTCGTGTGATGACGTTCATTGTAATATTTTGTTCCATAGCATCCTTTTGTTCGTTTAACTTTTCATGCATTCTTTATTGCATCTTCTCTTCCATTTCCTCTATTTTCTGATGCATCCTCTCATCAGCATCTAAAGAAGATCCAAGATTCCCTTTTTGCCCTTTTAACAAAGTCCTTGTCCATACAATCTCACGCGACCTAGATGTTCATGTCCCATGACTGAAGCAAAAGCGTCAACTGAATGACTGTCATCTTCACTTTCCTGAGTTGATTGTATTCTCTCCATTTCAGCCTACAAACCAAATACGAGAGAAAAAAGTTTTAAGTAACTAAAATTGAATCAATAATTAATAACAAATAATAATCACGACAAACTTTCAATTAGAAATCTCGTACAATTTTACTAATCGTATTGTCATATGAGCTTTTGTATACTCGGCCAAGTTTTGTTTTTCTTGTAGCCACAAAGATGTCCTTACTTGACAGAGTATCTGAAGTATCAGAGACTTCCTTCTTTTTTTCCTAGTTACATGAAAACAGGTATAAGAATCTTTCCATATAAAGTTAGCAAGTTCATAATTTAAAAAAAATAAGAAAGATAAAACATCAAACCTCGTGAATTAGAGCAAAAGGTGTTCTGCCATCAGTGTGTGGACACTTCAACTTACTTCGATTCTCTGTATTGGTTTCGGACATTTTCTGCAAATAAACGAGTCAACCAATAGCAACCAACAGTTATGCCTATTACCCACATCAAGACCCAAGACTACACTCATAGTATTAAAGC